GCCACGTGTGGTGCAGAGTGACCACGTAGCAAAATATGTTTATACACAACGAGTGCCAAAACGTCTCACCCATACAGTAGACACCGATATAACCCGTGAACAAAAACACACGTATGAACAGCACTAAGAGCTTATAGTATTTGCGTTGGAAGCGGACAATGGGGTCGGCCATGAGATCGGACATGTCTATGGTCTGGCCCTTACGGATCACATCGGGGTGTTTGCGACACAACAGCCAACCGACGTGTGCGAAGAAGAAGCCGCGGGAAGAGTTGTGTGGGTCGGCGTCGGTGTCGGTGTACTTATGGTGGACGCGATGGTCGCGACACCACTCGTATATGTCGTTTTGAAGGGCAGCCGTTTGGAAAAACGCTAGGAATAGCCGCAGCGGCCATTTGGCCCGATAGGACCGGTGCGCCCACAGTCGGTGCGCCCCTAATAGGCATATATGCAATCATTATGTAATTATGTGATAATCATGTAATAAAAACTGGGTTTAGAAAGCATTAATTAGTTTAGGAAATTATAGGTTTATGTTTTATAGCCATTAATGTTATTGCATATTAATGATTTAATTAATTTGTAATTTTAATTTACAACCCCTACAACAATTTTAAGTTAATTTACAAAACAATTATAATATGCAGGAAATATCTAATTAAATGTCATTAATTGTTTTTTGTATTTGTTGTATCAATTAAATTACCTGTAAGTATACTAAATCCGCCGAAAAAGTTGATAAACCAAATAATGACAAAGAATGCCCAGTGGCCGATACCAGAACAACCTAGGTAAAAACCATTTAGGGCCAACAGGTGCAGTACACTCATGCCAATCACATTGCGCCACACTATCACAGTCTTGTACTCGGTTGGGGTAATTGGTTTGCCATTTTTATCATGGTTATTATTATTATGGTGATAACTGTCCGCGTATTTATCGACATCACTTTTGTGACTATTTCTGTCATAAGCGCTGATGTAATTATCAGCTTTAATGACAGACATTTGAATACAATTGGCGATTAACACAATGTGATAAATTTACACAATAATCTAGATTAAATATTTTTAGTTTTTTTTAATCTTAAAGTAAAACTTAAAAACACAAATTTAAAGTTCAAGACATCGACACAAGTATTGCACACAAAATCTTTCGTTGATATCAATGACAATAAATATCCCAAAGAAATGATGTTTTATTTGAATTTTTGAAATCTTAAATGAAAGCGATATGAAAATTAAGACTTAATTTTACGGTGTTTTGCACTTTTCGTAAAAATAAATGTGTTTTAAATATTTGGTGTTTCAAAGACTCCCTATCGTTGATAATACTGTGATTTTTCTCATTCATTGAATGTCTGACACATATTAAGGGAAAAAAGTTTTTTAATGAGATTTGATAATAATTCTTACTCTTAAATCCACACTCTTCTCAATCAACTCTCTCTCTCTCTCGTCTACTTTCACTTTCACTTCCCTCTCAATAATGCACAGTATATTATAGTTAAAATGCATATTTATCATGATTATTGACATCAGTGGTTGAGCCTAAGATGCTGTTAGCAAACCATCCCAAGTATATAAACATATTGAAAAGCAAGAGTGGTCTCACACTGCCTGACAATCCCTCCAAACAGTCTCTCTTCCATCACATGTTAACGTAAACTACTTTCTAAACTAATCTAAAGGGAATATTCTGGTAAACCAATGGCAATACAGTGTATGCTTTTTAGTGAATAAAAAGTTTTATATTTTGTTTTAAATATATTTAATATAAACTATATATTGAATGAAAAGTGAAAAGTGTTTTTCACTGATTTCCAAAAGATATTTTGAAATCGTTTTTAATTAGTTGTTTGATTTTAAAAGGAAAAAATTCGTTCAATTCTTTCCTTACAAATACAAAAAGAAATCATTTTTTCAAATGATTTACATTAAAGAGTGTGAAAGCAATTGATAGCAAGTGTTGTCAACCGTTCCCTATCATCGGATGCGCTCTTTTTAAGCACCAAAAACTTTTTATTATATAATTATTGTATTATTTATATAAAACTCGTGTTTCTTTTGGTCACCAATTGAATCAAATCAGTGGCAAAGAAGTAGCAGAAGAAGCAATGATAGAGCCAATGGTTGAGCTCAACAATTCCGTGGCCATGACTACTGGCCAAAAGTGTCTGAGCGATGGGTTGGACAGGTTTGCCGAGCAGTTCTTGTCTTTGTTTTATATCATCTCTCCGACGGAGACCACACGCGATGACCCCTATCTGGTGCCCGACTATGAAGTGGCCGTAAGTATTCATATATTGCAACTTTGTATTTATTTTATGTTTTTTATGTTATAATAATTTTTATCTTTAATTCAATGGACAGTTAATACCAGCGATTGGTCTTCTGTTGGTCATCGAACAGGTCATCCGATTCTTTCAACGAAAACAATTGTCCAGATTTCCAGATCTGGTCATCAATACGGGTTCGGCCCTTATATTTACATTAGCCCGGTATGTGTCCACACTTAGTTGGGTACCTTTTTAGTAAAAACTTAAATTATGTAATTTAAACTATACTATCATATTCAGAATGATAGAATAATAAAATAAATCGGAAAAAATTCTGCCAATGGCCCTTGTACATAATTAAAATTAGCTAATTTAGTTTAACAAATTGTAGAAAACATTTTAATTTTGGCGGTTATAGTATTGTAAAGACAACCAGAATTGTATTCATAACTTGGTCATAGTTTATTATTCATAACAGTTATATTGCACTGTGTGATCATCACTCAATGATAATTTATTTTTCATTGATTAAGTTACAATGATTGCAATACAATAGTAGTTTGTGTCATTCATAGTATGATAAATAATTACTATGACCAAGTTATGAATACAATTCTGGTTGTCTTTACAACACTATAACCGCCAAAATTAAAATGTTTTCTACAATTTGTTAAACTAAATTAGCTAATTTTAATTATGTACAAGGGCCATTGGCAGAATTTTTTCCAATTTATTTTATTATTCTATCATTCTGAATATGATAGTATAGTTTAAATTACATAATTTAAGTTTTTACTAAAAAGGTACCCAACTTAGTATTTAGCTATATTATTTATGCCTGCTACTGTATATTAAATATGTAGAATTTGTGCACATAATGCAACGCGATCAGTATTATTCTAATTAATATTTTAATTAAATTTAATATATTTAGCTAGTTTTATATTTCTATTTGCATATTTTGTCCAAAGAATATGCTTAAATTAAATATAAACCGTTTAGTTAGAAAATGATTCATGCTGATGCTGTTGGTAAATTTTATTTTAATTAGTTATGTAAATCAAATATTTGTGGTTTGATTTTATTGTAACAATTAAATTAAAATTTACATAATCTTAGAAATATGTTATTTATTGATATAAATTATATATAATTTGTAAATCAGGTCACACTTTGTAAATATAAAACCGATCATTAGATAACAATATATAACGGGAATTAAAACATTTAATTAAAAGTCATTTTTGAAATATGTTATTTATTGATATAAATTATATATAATTTGTAAATCAGGTCACACTTTGTAAATATAAAACCGATCATTAGATAACAATATATAACGGGAATTAAAACATTTAATTAAAAGTCATTTTTCGCAGCGAATAATACCAATTTAGAGGAAGATTCAGCTTTTTAAATATTTTACAAATCCTAAAACTTGATCGCTTTTTAGCAAATTCTTATCTCAAATGCTGTGATATCTAATAAAATTGCAGTCAATTTCAAGTGTATTTCATCAGATGTTCAGCAAAATTATCCTTTAATTTTAAAAATATTTTCATTGATAACAACAACAAAAAACACATGAGTTTTGTGGGCATTAAATGCAAATTATTTGCTCCACATTTCTAGTGATAATGAAATGCTTTGCTTTAAGACACAGACACTGAGCTTATGATTGACACAAAAGTAGTAAAAGTAGTGATAATTATAACATGTATTATGTATACAAAAATTTAATTACTGATTACAAACGCGTTTTGGTTGTTATGTAATCGCAATAAATCTAGTATTGAATTACATTTAATTAATAAAATATAACAATTAATCAAACAAATTGAACAAATTTATAAAATCTTACAAAAAATACTTTATTATAAGCGAAAAATCTAAACCAAATATTTGTCGCCAAACCATAAGATGACCTCAATTTACACATAAAATAACAATTTTTATTATTTATTAGTATTATTAAAAAGTGTTATCAAATCGATTGAGGAAAGTCTTGGACATCAATTCTGCTCAAGAATTTTTACATAGAAAAAACAAAAACATTTCATATACTAACTGTAATACGTATAGAAATACAAATAAAATGTATTAATATTAATAGATTGGTAACTAATGCATACATAAAAAATATTTGTGCTTTAATTACCATATCCAAATTAACAGGGTATTTCTACTGAGCCTGGTCATCACAATATTCACGTGGCTCTACAACGACTACCGAGTGGTAGACCTGCCCCTGCATTCTGTGTGGACATGGATTTTATCATTACTATTGGTAGAGTTTGTCTACTACTGGACCCATCGGGCGCTCCACGAGTTCAACATACTATGGGCTGCCCATCAGTTCCACCACATGGCCGAAGACGTCAACATAACCACAACCATCCGGGACTCGATCGTCGATTTGGTCATATATGATGTGAGTATTTCTTTCACTAGTATTTAACCCCATATTCAAGTACACAAACCATATGCTAATCAATATATAAATTTTTGTAACATCGAGATTAATTTTTGTTCATTTTTGATTTGTAACCATGTGACAAAATCTAGCTCAATAAATAAAAATTATACCTTAAAGTAATTTATATTTATGCAAAACATTAACTTTATAATAAAGTTTTATTTTGAATCCTCCAGTTATAGCAAACTATTGTTGGGAATCATATAAAAATAGTTACTTTTGTAATAGTTTACAGTTTATAATGCAATACAAAAATTTAAACAAATAACAAAAATATCAGAAAGTAATTTTTAAAAAACTATTAACTATTGTAAAAACATTAACCAATTGTAATTAATAATTGCTTAATCACCAAAACAACGCAGATATTCCCACTCCCATTGGCCATCATAATCCCGCCGCCCATACTTGTGGTGCACATTCAGTTCAGTCTAATCTATCAAATCTGGTTACACAACGAAGTGATCGGTAATCTCGGGCCCATTGAGTACATAATCAATACGCCGCGTCAGCATCGGGTACATCACGGCAAGAATCCCTACTGTATCGACAAGAACTACGGGGCATTGATCATGGTATGGGACCGACTCTTTGGCACCCATCAGACAGAACAGGACCCCATTGTGTTCGGTGTGGTGTCGCCGGTGCCCAAGACGTTTGACTCCATGACCCTTCAGTTTGGTTACTATCGCGACATTTGGCACAAGTTTAATACGGTTGAAGGCGTGGGCAATAAGCTGTCGGCCCTGTTTAAGGGTCCGGGTTGGATGCCCGGCAAACCCAGGTTGGGATTGATATCCGATGTGCCCGAACCGGACCGCAGTCTCCCGAAGTACAGTCACGACCCGTATATACCGTTTTGGAAAATGGTTTACATCGGCTTTCACGGGGCGTTCGTTGTGTTGGGTTTCTATCTTCTCGCCGACCATCCATTCATTGTATGCCTTTTATTGTAATTTATTATAATTACTTTTAATTCAGTTATAATTGTGTATAAATTTAACTTTTGAAAACACTCAGCGATTTTCGCCGGCGAAAGGCCTGATTGGCATGTTTTACATCATATTCCTGTTGACGGCTTTCGGGGCTATATTTGATAACAGGTTTGAGTTTAAAATTAATACAAAATCTTATTTATTTTTTTAATTAAATTTTTAATCACAAAATGCACACCAAATACAACAGAAAATGGGCGCCAATACTAGAAATCATGCGATGTCTAGTGTTTTACGCGTTTGATTACTACCTGATAA